CCCAGCACCCCCACCACTGGCGATCAGAAGCCGAGAGGGCTGATGAGTCTGCACGACGCACTGCTGGGGAGCTTGCACATACTCTTAATGAGAACAAGCACTTGCAGAAATCGCTTAACACGCTCACTGCCCAGCTTGAAGAGAATGAGAGGCTTCGCGAATCCTGGCGATCCAAGTTCTTGTCCCTTCAGGAAGACATGGGTAAGGCTGCCCGCGAGGTTGCCGAGGAAAATGCTCGCCATATCAAGAGGGACCAGGCTATGTGTGCTAGGCAAGAAGTCCTCCAGGCCAGATTGCAGGCTGAAGCGAAGACTCGTGAGCGTCTTGAGATAGAAATGGAACGTCTGCAGGAGAATGAGAGGTCTGGCATGCGAGCCGTCAACGAATGCAAGCGACTCGAGGGCTTGTTGGGCGAGCTACGGACCGAGAACCACAAGCTCCAACAAGCTGCCTCACGCTACCAGCGTGAATTTGAAGAAGCACGAGAGTCTGGCGCCAGCGAAGTCAAGCGAACCCGAATGTCCCTGCAAACCGAAATTGATGCGGCCAACAACCAGGTCAATGTCATTCGTGAAGAGTTGGAGGAACAGAACTCCAAGCTTCGAACCGAGCTTGATAATGTCAAACTCGAGGCTGACACTGCCAAGGCCCAGAACGAGATGTTGCTCGAGGAGGTTCAGTCCACAAAAGCTGCGGAGCTGGAGGCGGCTGAGCGCAAGTACCAGAATGAGATTGAAGACATGCAGGCGCGCTACGAACGCCGGGTCAATAACACTACTGAGGATGCTTCACGCACGGAGCAGCAGCTCCTTGAGCGACTCAGTCTCTCATCATCCAAAATCGAGCACCTCCAGGATCGCATCATGCATCTCGAAGACAAGTTGGAGATTGCCAAGGAAGCTGCCGCCGCCGCCGCTCAGGCAGCGAAAACAGCTGGGGCCGAATCTGGCGCCGCAGCTGTCGTCTCTCAACCTCAACAGTCGTCGAAGTCTCTTGAACTTCCGGAGAAAATCTCGCCTCAGGCTCTTCGAGAGTCTATCATGGTTCTTCAGGAGCAGCTTCAGGCCCGTGAGCAGCGGATTGAGGAGCTTGAGCAGTCCCTCTCTAAGTCTGACCCTGACGCCGCTGCTAAAATTTCAAAGCGCGATGACGAAATCAGCTGGCTCCGCGAGTTACTCGCTGTAAGACACAGCGACCTCCAAGACATCATTTCCGCCCTGTCTGGCGACCACTATGACCGCGATACCGTCAAGGACGCAGCCATTAGACTCAGGGCTAACCTGCAGATGGAGGAACAGGAGCGTGAGAGAGCTTTAAATGGAGGCTCAGCCATTAGCTTGCCCAACATTGCTCAGAGCATCCAAGCTGCCACACCTCGTGTTGCTCAGACCATTGGTCCAATTGCCGCTGCTTGGGGCAATTGGCGCAAATCAAGCCAGCCAAGCTTCCGCACCATCTCTGGAGTTTTAAGCTCCCCCGTGAGCGGGAGCAATTCTACACCTTCTAAGAGCAGGAGTGGCCCAGCTTCCCAGAGCAGTCTGCTAAGCGGACTACTGACACCGCCCGCCTCAGGTCTGCGTCAAGCACCAACGTCGGATAACAGACCGCAACCCACGGCCTTCTCTAGCACGGGTCGTCGCTACACCTCGCAGGGAAGTAGCTCCATGGACCGTGACCGAAGAGAATCCAGCAGCTCTCGGAGGTCCGAGAAGATGCCGGCTGCTCCCAATACACCGCCACGTCATCAGGAGCGTGTTGAACAACCCAGAACGCCGCCTATGGTGCGCCAGAGTGGATACGATTCCGATGCTCAACCTGGCGACTTTGACGATCATGATTTCTTCGAAGAGGACTGAGCTTAATATGTTCTTTGATGATGATTAGCGGATAAAAATATTCGGGGATGGCATGACTGGAGCAACTGGGTTCATACGGTATACAACAGCCACTGCTGTCTTTAAAACTACATTTTTCCTTTGTCTGTTCCTGTTTTTTGCCTCAAGAAAGTGAAATGGCTTTTGTCATTTTGTGTCGGCCTGATTTCAACGCACTTGTTTTAACACATGCACAATACACCAGATTGCGAATCCTACCCCTAGAAAGATACCCCCTTGGATGTTTTTGGTCGATTCACGTGTTGTAAAGAAAACGGCTGGCTGCAGACGAGAACTACTTGAAATTGAAAAGAAAGAAAAAAGGTCTCGGATAAGACTTGAAGAAGGAAAGACTAGGGAGGATGGCATTATATATCGTCTGTTGGGGGGCGTGGAAGGTTTTACTGTTTGCGTTTTTGGTTTTTGTTCTTATACCATTCTAAACAAGCTACCTTTTTAAACTTGTTTTCTTGTTTCCTATGTCTTGATTGTTTCTTATGCATAGCGAATGTGGAAGGGTGAATACAAGAAATGGTCACTCGTTACGAGATGGTCTGTGGCTAGCGCCAGTAAATAGTAATAATCTACACTCAAAATTGCAATCATCACTCGTGCTATGGCCAGTGAAGTCACTCACGGTGATTAAATAAGTTTTGCACGCTGTATGTGGGAGTATGGCGGGATGCAACGTACCCGTGTCATTTCATATTACGGCATACCAAAAAAATATATACTAGGGGGTATTCATACATCCATTACAAGATCTAGTTAATTACTACTCAACAACTTCTCCACAGCCCACTTGACACTGAAATTCCTCAAGTCTGAGTAATGCTGTCCTACGCCGACGAATAGGACAGGTACATTGGTGGCGTGGACGAGACTGACCAGCGTTCCAACCATGTCGCCCACCGTGTCGCACTTGGAGATGATGAAGCCGTCGAGAGTGCGGACGGAACCGAACGCGGCGTTGAAGTTGCGCGCTTGGGCGACGGAGTCTGTTCCTACAAGAGCCTATGTGCGAATCAGTATGGTGCAGGAATATGACCGGGGAAAAAAAGGGGGGGTTTGCTTGGTGAACGAACCTCGCCAACCATGAGAATCTTGTCAGGCTGGGCAAACTTGGCGAATTTCTCCAAGGAAGACATTAGTCGTTGATCATTGTGTCGTCGGCCAGCCGTATCAATAAGCACAACGTCGAAGCCTTCCTGCGCAGCATGAGATACTGCGTCCTTAGCTACGGTGGCTGCGTCCTTGCCGTACCCCTTTTGGTACAGCTCTACCCGCCCGCCTTCTCGGGCGGTCAATTCCTTCAGATTGCGGACATGAACCGCGAGCTGTTCGACGGCTCCTGACCGGAACGTGTCGCCTGCGGCAATGAGGACCTTGTACTTGTTTTGGAGGAGGAAGAAGCAAATCTTGGAAAGATTGGTAGATTTGCCGACGCCGTTGACGCCGACGATGGAAATGACATAGGGTCGAGCTTTGCGGAGAGAAGTAGCGGGCGGTGCGGTAATGGAGTCGATTTCGCGGAGGAGGTCAAGGGATGAGGTGGGCGTGAGCATTTTGGTCAAGGAGGATTCCATGGCTGTTTGAATCTTGGTGTTGATACTTTCAAAGTTGCCGGTCCTGACGCCCACTAGCTCCTTCTCGACACCTTCACATAGACGAACGGCAGCTTCCCGTGCTACGTTTTTGCGTAGGAGATGCTCCTCCATGCCTTTCATGGCCTTGTCAAGATCTTCTTTGGTTAGCGTCTTGCCTCCAACGACGTTGCGGAACAGGCCGCCTAGGGCATTGACACCCGTGCCCAAGAGACCGGATTTGGTTTCTGACTTGGTTGCTACTGCAGCCTTTTCAGCCTCAGCGGAGGCAAGCATGCTGTGAACTTCGTCACCCAGATCCTTGAGGACAAATTTGCCTTTAGTAGAGGTTCCCCATGTCGATGCGTCGACGGCATCCAAAGCACTTGACCGACCGACAGTCTCCGCTTCGACATCGCTCGTGGGATTGGCAGAATAGTCAAGCTGCACATCTGTATCATCCTCTTCGGCAAACCCGTCCGCATCCCATTTTCGTCCCTTCTTGGGCCCCTTGGCACTCTTCTTTTGCTTACTCGCCGCCTCGTCCCCCGATGATGCTGGCGCGGATGCCGAGTTTTTGGCTTTGCGGGCTCGTCTAGACATCTTGGCGACAGGCCCAGCTTTGGCCACTAACAGATTGCCAGTACTTGGGGTAGATGGTCTCGAAGTGTTTGGTGTCAGTACCGGGCTCGAGTCGTCTGAAAGTCCCTCATCCTGTCCACCATTGATATTGCGACCTCGGTATGTTAGACCTGGAGCAGAGGGGCCGTCGTCAACGGAGCGTACCGGTTGCACTGTCCGATTCGATGCAGTCGACGTATCTAGTTCGTGTAGTTGTTGATCAAAGTAGTTGTCGAACCCGGTGCATTCAACAATCGTCGTGTGTGGTTTCTTGAGCTGTTCGCCGTAGAGGTTGATAAAGATGGTCTTGATATTGTCCACAAGTTTATCGACCCAGGATAGATGGAGGAGTGACCGGTAGACAGCCTGCAAATAATACATGTTAGCGCAAATCTATTGTGTTTGAGGTCGAATGCAATCGAGTTGCAGGCGCGCACCACAAAGATAACACCGAGCTCCTTGACCACAGTCCATTTCAACGTGTGCTGGTCGCTCTTGTATGGAGGATTTGTTGCGGCTGATTGCGAGTCTCCTAATGCCGAACTACCACTCTTTTCCTCAATAAATGTATCGGAGATGAAGCTGTTCACAATGGAGGAATTTATGGGGGCATATTCTCTGGACCAAAGGACAACACCGTTGGTGGTGATGATTTCGAAAGTGTCCAACATGATGGCGATGCGCCGGGCTCCCCACCTTACAGGGCAGAGAACTCAGGACTCAACAGATACCAAGCAACAAGACAAGGTGTACAGAGTCGGGGTCCGACGATTCAAAGCAAAGAGAAAGGAAAACGAAAGAAGAAAATATGCCCGACGCAGGGCTGGGCCAGGCTTCTGTCTACACGGCCAGAAAAGATGGGCCACTTGCGAAGTTGGTGGACCGCTTGAGATTCGAGGCTATAGACTGCACCAGATGTGGCTATGTGTCCAGTGAGTGGTCTGAGTGCCAAGTGGTCTGGCAGTGTGGCCGCTCTTGCTAGTCCAGTCTGGAAGCGCTGATTGATAGCGCTTGAGCGCCGCTCAAAAGGCTGGACCCTAGGCCCATTGCCCGACCACCAGTGGCTTTGAGGAGCCCCATCACGTGCTGTAGCTGCTACGGAGGGCCAGTTGACGAGTTGGCTGGTCTGACGGTCACCGTCTGAGGCCTCTTGTACAAAGTGGATCTAGGCCTGCTGCACAGCCACGCCTTGGAGCTGGTGGCTCCGGTAAGCCACACCTCACGAGCGAACGGGATGTTGCGCCGTCCAAAACGACCACATTTCCTCATCAGCCTCAGCAGTTGCTCCTCCATACGCTACATCACGTTGTCGCAGCGCTCTGCATTCGCAACCGACTACTCTCTGACTAGGCCCTTCGGTTAAGATCCCCAAAGCATAACAAAATCAACACCGCCGTCATGCAACGGGGGACATATGGACAGTCGCCCCCGTTGCACCACCCCGTCCCGCAACATGTTTCTACAGTTCCCCAGCTCAGATCACCACCTCCACCACCTGGGTCTGCGCAGTCAATGGGACAAACGTACGGAGGAGCGAGTACTCCATATCAACAGCAAGGCGGTAACAGCGGTAACGTCTTTGGCGCCTACGGACAATTCATGAATGATCCAACAGCGCAAGTTGCTGCTCAATTTGGCCAAACCGCTTTCAAGCATGGCCAGGAATATGTCGAGCAGAATGTACGACTTCCTACAAGCTCCCGATTTCTCTAGAGCGACATCCCTTGTGTTAACAATAACAACAGATTGGCCGATATGTCAACGTCTCTGCGTTAAAACACTACTTCAACGTCTCTAACTCATACGTCGTCAACAAATTGTTCCTCGTCCTATTCCCCTGGAGACACAAGCCTTGGGCGCGCAAACAAGCTACGGGAGCCAGTGGGCAAGAAGGATGGTATTTGCCTCCCCGCGAAGACGTCAACAGTCCCGACATGTACATTCCAGGTTCGAACCTCTCCCCCTTCTCTCTCTACACGCGGCGTGCTTCGCGACCGAATATGTAAGCTAACATACTGTTCTAGTTATGGCTCTCGTCACATATATTCTCCTCTCAACGTTGATTGCCGGTCTCAAGGGCCAATTCAAACCCGAGTTATTAGGATACACCGCCACGACCGGCATGGTAGTAGTCATCGTTGAGATAGTCGCCCTGAAGCTAGGGTGCTACCTGTTGAGCATCTCAAGCCAGTCTCAGCTTCTTGACTTGATTGCCTACTCTGGCTACAAGTTTGTGGGCATCATTGTCACTATTGTTGTGGCCGAAATTCTCAACGGCGGCAAGGGCACTGGCGGATGGATTGGCTGGGCTGTGTTTGTTTACACCTTTTTGGCCAATTCGCTGTTCTTGGTGAGTTTTGTTATCCTCCACTATACGCCTTGCAATATCAAAAGTCCAAGCTAATGCGTGAATTAGATGCGATCGTTGAGATACGTTCTCCTACCTGAGACATCAAGCAACACTGGCGGTCCTATGCAGACCGATTCCCGCGCAAAGCGTAACCAGCGCACCCAGTTCCTCTTTTTCTACTCGTACATTGTTCAGCTCTTCTTCATGTGGCTACTCACGATGGGAATTTGAGCGCAGTCATTTGCCGGGAGTTTAGGCGGCATCAGGTTGGGGCTGAAAAAGCAACGGGACAAAGGCGGAGTCCTGCAAAGGGGAACCTCGTTCGAGCCGGAAAAGTTTTGGCGGCAGATGCCTATTCAAGACACAGTTGCAGGTGTAGACGGCCAACCATTGTGGTAGAGGATCATTTGACTCCGTTTCTCGGCAGATTATGGAGTCCAAGATACCAACGACTAGACGTGGAGGTATAATGTGGAATGAGGCGAGATCAAAAAGTAAATTACGTTGCAAATATAACACATAATGGCACGGTACAATCAATAAATGATACTAAACCACATCCGAGCTTTGCACGACTCACGTACCCAATCTGACTCATCGAATATAAAACGCCCAACACCCAAAATATCCATCCCATCACGCCGATCACCATCCGAACCTCTCCATCCTCAAGACTGAAACAATCAATCCTTCAAACCATGCGCATCGACCCCATGAAGCGGCTGTTTCCAAATCGCATCACAAAACCCGCGCCACGTTAGACGCTCTGGTCCCTGTTTCTCCACCACGTGACGACTACTTCACCTCAGGAACACCCAACTACCTAGTATGCAATCCCTAAAAGACACTCTCCTTCTCCCCCTTCACCTCGCATACATATCCTCTGCTCTTTTATTCTTATTTTTTTCTTCCAATTCGATAGCTTGCATATATCTATCATCTATCTTCACAGCGGGTTTGTGTTTTTTTTTTTAAAAAAAAAAAAATGTCCCGAAATCCAATCTTTTCCGCAACGCTCCAAGCGGCCCTCCTCGGGGCCACATCCAACATCCTAGCGCAGCTCATCGAAGCATACAGGAAACAGGCAGGTCTCCCCTCCCCCAAGATCCAACAGTGCAGGAGTGCTGACGAACCAGACCGCCATCGAGGTCGACTGGATCCCGGTCTTCCAGTTCCTCATGTTCAGCATCGTCAGCACACCGCCCAACTTTCTATGGTGAGCGGCCTCTGATTCTTGAGCCCTGACGTGGTGACGGGAACCTAACAATTCCGCGCAGGCAAGACTTTTTGGAATCCTCCTTCCCGGCACGTCTGCCTCCGTCTGGGGAGGGGAAGAGTGCCGGGGGCAAGGCCGCGTCGGCGGACGAGCAGCCGCTTAGCATCCGCAACACGCTGCTGAAGTTCGGGCTGGACCAGACCGTCGGCGCAACGTTCAATACGCTGCTGTTTAGTGTCTACATCCACTCTATCCACCTGGCTATGCCTGACGCGCCGCGCATTACCAACTTCACCAAGGCGACGGGCTACTGGATCTCTCCGGGGGTCATTGACTTTTCGGCCGTTGACATGGCCGTGGTGTGGCAGGCGGCGCTCGCCGAGTTTTGGACCATTGTGTTGGCGGGGATGAAGCTTTGGCCGGCGGTGAGTTTAATAAATTTCACCCTGGTTAAGACCGTTGAGGGCAGGAACCTGGTGGGCTGCGTGGCGGGATTGGGCTGGGGAATTTATATGAGTATGATTGCGGCCAAGGAGTAATTTATTTTTTTCCCCTCGATCGGTCATTTTGGGTACTTGGCTTGCGGTGATGGTGGTTTGATGACGAGGAGAAACGTCTCCATATTCATAATCTTTGCCATGTGTGACGACTAGACCACGATATATTGGCCTAGAGTAGACAGATAGAAACAGAGCACATAAATTCGCTGATCTTCGCTTTGCTATCTATAGACGATTAATTCTGTGTACAAACGCTATACAAATGTTGCGTAAACATGGTGAGTTAGCCACGCCTTCCTCATATCTATGAATTGGTGGTCAGCCTCCAAGTGGTGGAGGAGTTACAGCTCGAAGTGGTGTCAAAATCTGCTCTAAAGAGTCACAGGAAAACGTTGTCGCCGAGAGCCTAGAGGCTTCACTGGTACTCTCATAGTCTACCAAAGTTGCTGTTGGCTCAATTGACCAAGTCGAAGAACTGCGAGATGAGACAGACGCGGGCGATGTTGTTAGGTTTAGGTGAGGATCGAACTCCATCGCTTCAGGGTTAAAATGAAAGGTAACTTGGCGAGAAACTTCAGATTGTGTTGATGGTGGCGGGGAGCTGGCGACCCTGTTCCCCCATACACCTTCTCCTGGGTTCGGATTAATGCACTGCCTCTCAGCACCCCAATCGGGCTGGGCGTCTATCCAGGCTCTGATTCCTGATTGATGACCGGAAGAAATATCGCGAACCTGTTGAATTTTCCGGCCTGACGTGTCATGGCGGAGCACAGTCAGGTTACCATCTGAGGTAACTGAATTTGTACGGCAAAGCGTCACCATAACTCCATCTTCAGGTTCTTCTTCTTCGTCGGAATTATCAGCTCCAGGTCGGAAAAACCAATCCGGAACCGGGGCACTTGCTGATATGTTGAACAATTCCAATAAGGCGTCTGCGACATCATACCAGTACATGAGCCACGGCCGCATTCGCCACATGGTATCTTCGCTCAGTTTGGCACACAGCATGTCGTTGGCAAAATTATAAACAGTTGCAAGTACCCAGCGCAGGTCTTTGGGAAGATTCTCCAGAGATTGAATAATGCAAGACCATGCTCTAGCAACCTTGAAAAGGCGGTCGACCCCTGGTTCGATGGGCTTGAGTGGTTTAAAGAATCCCATGAGGTCGATGTCTTTGCAGCACGGTTGGTACGCCATGGCGCCAGTGAAGGTACGGAACTCCAGCAGCTTCACGTTTGGATATATCTGATGACGGATTAAGGCTGTACCAAGTTGTCTATAGGTTGGGTCCGATCTTGGTATCTCTTCGAGCACATTGGGAGTAATGCGTGGCGGAGGCTCCAGAGGGTCCATGGGCAGCTCAGGAAACTCTCGCCACTAGCCGTCTTCAGACTCCTGTCGTGCTTGGTCGATTTCTTGTAGGAGATCCTCCATGTCCTCCTCTAGTTCCGCCATGTAATGAATCTGGGAGGACATGATGGCGTTGACGTCTAGTTCCGACAACCAATACGCGTGGGGTGCCTTGTCGTAAAACAAAACGGCGCATTCGCCGCAAAGAGGCTGGTAAGAGCACTTCAAGAGATGAAATGCATGATACCTACTATGGATTGGGCAGAAATACTATGTCATGCCCAGAGAGGACGGTTGCTCGTGGCGAACTGTGCTGGTTGAAGCATTGTGGCGGTCGAGGCGGAAACATCGTCCGCGGCACCGCATGGTGGTTGATGTGCCTAGTTTGAGTATAAATGGAGCAGTAAGAACACTGAGATGCTGGAAACGACCGATTTGACATCAAAAATAAAGGTGGACGAATGATGACTGCGAGGATGCCGACTTTAGAATGCCCGAGCGCAGATGGAGATGCGGATACCTGTACCTGTTCACTGTTTGGGAGGAGAGGCAGAGGCGCGTTCGAGTAGAGCTCAAGCCTCGCACCTTCCTCCTGGAAAGATCTTCTGGCTTCCGGCTGCTGTTGGTCAAGCGACATGTTCCCAGTCAGCCCTTCCTTGTCGCTTGCTTTAGCTCATGGAATCAATTTGTTTCATCTAGAGCCTAGTCAACAGGCTTGATGACACGATAAATATCGTGAAGCCGAGCCGATGGCCAGGAGGGTGGTCGTTCCAAGTACAGTGACTTAATGCCGGCGAATCCCGAGGGAGAGACGGCCATGGTGCTTGCGAAAAATCCACCAGTTGCAGAGTCGGAATGACGCCGCGATGGAGCTCCTGTTGTCAACAGCGGGGGAGGGGCAACAGAGCCAACAGCTCCGCGCCTCATCCTCCATCCATCCAGCCAGCCATCCACGTTTGCCGTCCCTAATTCCAAAGCTCCAAAGCTCCTGTGCATTCGGTCCCTGGCCCCCGAGAACCCCGAGAACACCCATGGGCCGCCCTTCTCCGCGTGTCCTCCTCCGTCTACTTGCAAACGACAACTCTGTCGCCCTTCACTTCTGTACCGCCTCAAAACCACTCAAACCCTCAGTTTTCATTTGTCGCCGACATCACTCCCGCTCATCAAACACACCGCCGCCGTCCTCGTTTCAATCTATCAAAATGGCCGACCGTGTCCACCGCGTCACCATGTTCAAGCTGCCCAACCCAGCCGCCCAACAGAAGTTGATTGACGCGTACAAGACCGTCGACGCAACCAACCAAAAGGTACTACCAAGTCGCAAAGCATTCTCCTGGTCTGCTCACTCCCTCTACCCCTCCTGCTTTTGTACAACCCATCTCATTGTTTGCCAATTTGTCTTGCTCGCCACGAGCCCCGTGTTGTACCACTCTGTTTCTACCCCCTGTTGTAAGCGAGATCGCCCGTTGCTGTGTGTGCTTCTCCAGCCCAGCCTGCCAATATCACGACGGACAACCGTTCATCTGAAGAGAAGACTATCACAATATGCACTGACGCATCCTGCTTGCAGGACGGCAAGCCGTATATCTTGTCACTGGCAGTTGGTGTAGCCGAGGAAGATCCTCGCGCCCAGGGGTACACCGTCGTGTGCAAAACCGAGTTTGCTAGCATGGACGATCTGAAGTATTACGACGAGAGTTGCGCCGCGCACAAGAACTTGAAGGCTACCGCGAAGGAATTGGGTGTTGAGGGTATCATGACGGTTTTCTTTAAGCCCCAGCTCTTGGGGAGTTCAACATAGTTATTCTTGTATAACCGACTAGACGCTATCCCATTTCAGATCTCAGGAGGCTTCATGCCTTGGCGGTGGCTATGTGGTGCGGTGTGCGGTGTGCGCCGTGCGTGTAGCTGTTTTGAGTTGGAAAAGGATACAGAACCACAGTGTCAACCGTATGTACAAACCGATACAAACGAGAGCATGCGCAGCAGATTCAAATGTTCGTCTCACAGTAGTGCAGATCAGATCTCGGTATTGGCGTACAGCATGTATTAGTTGTGCGAACTCCCCACTCCAATCTATCCGTCATGATACCAGCAGGACCTAGCACATCTCAACACCACGGCTCCAAAGTTTCCATCCTCACCTACAAATCACCATCACACAACTCTTGACACCTCGGAAGACCACAGGGACAAATCTCACACCCCCTTCCTCCCTCAGCACAACAGCCTCCCAGCCTACTCTTCCCAGCCCCTCACCACATACCACTCCGCCTCCGTCTCTGCACTATCCCCATCCCCATCCACTATCGAATCTCACCTCCAAGAAGTGGGTGTCGTATCCCCTCAATGGCGATAAACATTCCCACCGTTGCACAGCACCACCCACGAAGCCCTGGTCGTTTCCCATGACCGTGCAAGTCTTTGTTTGGGAGAGAAACATGATCCAGGAGGATTTGAGCCGGTTGTTACCAGGGGATACGTGACTATTGTGCCTGCGAGACTAGCTCATCGGCTGCTTCAGGACATGGACAGCGGGCCCGAAATCGAGGGCATTCATCCTACGGGTGAAGCGTGGGACATGTGTTACGGCTTGGAAGGGGAGGAGGACAAGAGAGAGGGGGGCCAAGGATCCCAAGTGGTTTGAAGGGGCATCCCATTTACGGAGAGGCCAGTTCAGCTGGAAACTTGTGAGAGGGTGTGACTTGGGATGAGGAAATGGCAAAGTGAGGCTGGACTGGAGATGCAACTGGCTGCTGATTTCGGAGCACCTGCATGAAAGTTGTTGGTTTGCTGTATGACTTACTTGGGAGTTGTGACTTGTTGATAAGTCATTATATATGATCAATTTAGGAAGGTGTTGACGATAAGAAATGCCGACTGCCTGATGTCCCCGACTTGAAATGTTGAATAAGTACGTGACTAACTATTGACGACATACCGTGGTTTGTCTAATACAATATTACATTGCCTGTGAGTGCCTGTGAGACCATCTTCTGTTCTGCGGAGCACAACATTTGCCACTCCATCTCGGCATTCGTTCTCCTTGGATGAGGACAAGCAGATTTAAAACATGAGCATGATTGTCATAGAGAAAAGACGTATAATTTCACTCAATTGCTATGTAATAAGGCGCCATGTGCTCTTTGTCAGCATAAATGTGATAGAACCGACTGATAAAAGATCATCTGATCATCTTATAAGTGAGAAACAAACATCAAACAGTGGAAGAGAAAGATACTCGCACAATACAGAATATGCCGCCCGGGTGCTCATAACTCCATGGTCCAGCAATTCGTGCCCCCGTTATGTAACCTGGTGTCGCCAGAGAAAATACCGAGACGGTGAAGAAAATCTTAGTTATGCACTCAACAGACCACTAGATTCCCATGTTAAGCCATGTGACGAGTATGTGTGACGTCGTTGATCTCCGTCCCAGAGTCACTTCCCCTGCGATACGATGACGATTCGTCCTTGACCGGAGCCGTTATTCGTTCAATAGGTGTAGGATTTTTTTCCAGAGTGAAAAGAGAGATGGCCACCATGACTGCACAAGCCAGCCCGATGACCTTAATTTCTTTTTTAAATGCGCCAATGTAGACTTTTCTTACTAGGCCTCGCAACTTGTCGGGCAGCCGTAGTCCTGATAGAGGAGACCGGTGCAGCATATCTAGTTCTTGGTCTGTCAA